GTGCATTTAACATTTCTCTAGAATATCGATGATAGATTGAACACCTTCCTATTAATTTAAACTTTTGAAAAAATTAATTACAACTTTTTATTTAATGCAATACTGAGTCTGAGAGTTAGTGTTCAAATCCTGGTTTATCATGTTTGCCAAAATTTAGTTTCACACAACGTATGGCGACTCTTGAGGTGAGGAATAAGAGACTTGTACTTCATCCGCAAATTCAATCCAACAGATTTTCACACGCGAAAGTGCATTAAACTATACTTTCTACTAACCAAGATCTGGTAAATATTTATTATAACTCATTTTTCGATACCTAGTATCTCCTGTAAAGCTGCTAATTGCCATAAAAAGCTGCATTACAACATGTCTCCGGATTTCACTAATTATTGAGCATCATATTACATGTAAACAAAAATTAAAATAACTTTGGGACGTCATAAAAAAAGGCAATATTAGCTGATTTTCATTGCAAAGTAAATCATTGCAAGTAATAAGGATCAACAGAAGTACGAGTAGAATATCTAAAGTTTAGAAAGATCTGACTTTAATATTAACAGATACGGCAATGAGATCTTAAATAACCTCCATTAACGAAATAACAAAGTAGAATCCAAAGTAACATAAATGTATTTACCAGGTAAGGAGGGTCTGCAACTACGACATTGAAGGAATGCTTGAGCTGCAACGGCAACTCTTCCGGCTGGTTGTAATCATAAAAAGTGAAATCATTTCCATATTGCTCAAATCGCTTATCATACTCGAGAAGTTGCACGGAAACACCGGGATTAATTTTCTGATTATCAGACAATAGAAGCAAACAAAAACGCTGAATCCTGAACTTAGAACCTCATGAAAAAACTCATTGAGAAAAAAAGAAAACCTATGGAGTTCTCGTTTGCTCACAAGAAGTTACCTTGAGGTAGGCGTAGAGAGTGGGGCAGGCGATACAAGCGACGCGAGAATCCAAGTCCGTAGAGAGAGAGATGATTTCCCGAGCGATAGTCTCTGCGGTTTCTGAATCGTACCAGAATTGGCTTAGCCTCCAATCCTCCGCAATTAATGCCACCTCCTTTCCTTCTCCTCCCGTTTCTGGAGATTCCGGTTCGGTGAGCGGTTGATTCTGTTCTGAAAGGAACTCTTTGAGTGCTGCTAGAGCGTGAGCACTTAGCGCTGGTATGTCATCGTCTTCTTCATCCACGAAGCGTTCGTTTCTGTGATCAATGGCAGCGCCCGTGGTCGTGTTGGCTAGCCCCGCTTCCATTTTGGTTTCCGTCTGGGTATTCTTCCAGATTTGCTGGAGCAGAAACCCGGTTTTTTTTAAGCAAGAAGAAAGAGGGGCTTCGTCCGAAGGGAAGTGTTTGGTAAGCGGGTTAATGTATGTCCAATTACAAGAATAAGGGTTTTAGTTAATCCTGCTCAAGGATATTTCTACTCCTTGAAAAACATTTATAGACTGATTCTGAATGGTAAAAAAGAAATTGGAGATAAATTTTAAGATGAAATAAATCTAAAATTATTTGGGTTCTTTACATTTTATGTTAATAAAAGCATGTTTTTTAATTTAATTTTGGCTTCAATTCTCTACATGTATATTATTTCAAAAGAAAAAAGATTTCTATACGTATATGTTCATACATAAGAACATGTAAATTAATATGCATACAATTATGTATGTATACACACATGAACAGAAAAATTAAAAATTAAGAGATTCTTCTCTGGGATCATGGATGACCAACAGTGACCATTCTCAGAAGCATAGCATAAAAATCAAGTTCCCTAACTCTTTTCCACCATGTTAAAACTGCTCAGAGCCTGGCCCTGAAGTCCCTACAAACAAAAGAAACTACAATTGTCTGACTAATTCTGCAACATTCTTCTTACTGATCTTGAATATGAAGAGATAAATTAGAAGTGACTGATATAATACAGCAGAATATATCAGACTTGTTTTCTAAGACTTCGAAATTTTGCCTACCTCCCTTCCTCTCGGTTACTGCCCTCCTCCAAATCTGAAAGTTCTGGCAATTCTGTCTTTTCCGTTGAAGCATCATCAGACAACTCGCTGAGCGGATTCGACATAGATTTTTCACCTTTAATAAAATCCAACAATCTATCATGGAGACCTTCAGAAACGATACCCTTGTCTCTCATTAATCCTGCACACTCCTTAGCTCCCTCTACATCTCCTTCCTCCTTCAAGTAATTCAGACAGGAAGCTACTATGTTCATGTCTGGTTTCCACCTCGAAGAACAAACCAATAGTGCTTTCTTCATAGCTTCCACCGCCTTCAGTGATTCACCATTCTGAAGATACCCTGATGCCAATATACCATGTGAATGCATCAGGCTTTCCCCCACTTGGTATTACAGTTTTTACAAGGTTTTCAGCCTTCTCCATGAGACCCTTCCTGCAATATGCACCAATCAATAGATTTGGAATTCGAATATCATATTGTAAACCCTGGGATTGCCACTCGTCAAAAATCAGCTTAGCATTTTCGATATCATCAAGCTTCAACAATGAAGTCAAAATACACATATAACCCCTGCTGAAAACCTTCTCCTTGTTCTTGTAGATTTCCCAAAGTCTCAAAACTTCATCTTTTTTTCCAGCAGCTGCATACTGTGTGAGAATGAAATTATATGCCGCACTTCTCCTCTTGTGAGTAACCAGCTCCTCGGCTTTCTTCAGTGCTGTCATAGCCTTGTCCAGAACCCCAACTTTTGTATATGCACTTGCCACATTGGAATAAACAGTCCAATCTAAAACAATATTGGGATCAGACTCTATCTCCTTCAAAAGTTTGTCAATTCCCTGATTGTCAGATGCAACTGCACATGCACTAAGAGAGATGCTGTATGTAAATTTGTCAAATTGGATGCCATTTTCTTTAATTTCTTTAACCAGCTCAACAAATTTCTGGTTGTTGCCAGTCTGATAGTAAAGACTGAGTAAAACATTGTACGATAGAGTTGTCGGGTTGAAACCTAAATCCCTCATCTTCTGCATTAGGGCCTCTGCTTTTTCCACAGCTTTTGCTTTGGCATAGCAGTTGAGAAGAGCACCATAGACCTCGAGGACTCTTAAGTGTTTTGGAACATAATTGAAGTAGTTCTCTGCCTGCTCTAAGCCATGAACTTTACCAATCAAATCCAACCGGATGGCAATATCACTACGTCCAAGTTTAATATATCTTTTATCAGTCATCCACATTGATATCTGGGAAGAAACAAAAAGAGAGTCATTCTCAAACTATATTAAACAGGGCAACATGAATAGAAGTGCAAAACCATCAACAGATAATGAATATAGAAAAAAACAACCAAAACACTCTACATTCCTCAATTTATTTGACTTTAAAACACTGAAAAAAAGTCAAAGACGGCACAGCTTAAACCAATATTATGTCATTAGGCACATCATCAACTTTACAACAAAATCCTGTCAGAACAATTCCACCAGACCAGGCACAATCTTACACCTAATACTAAGTTGGTAACATAAGCATCAAATAAGAATCCACAAGTTCCACAAACAAAGCTTGCCCTCTCTTATCATGTGGAAAACACAAATCAGTCACATTCTGGCAACTGGTGCGCAGTTTTGGTCTATAACTATTGAATTTTTTCAAAAATGAGAGTTATTCTACACCAGCTGCTGGTGGCGGCTCGCTGGTGGCAGCAACGGCTGTTGGTGGCAGCAACCTGGCTTCTTTCCGACTATGAAAGCTGGTGTGGTGGCCGGTGTAGTGGCCGGCTGACCCCTTCAGAGTTTTTTTTTTCTTTTTGCAATGAAGGGTGAATAAGATTTGTAAAAGAGTTTAGAGTTTCTACCTAAAACTCTGATATCATGTCACGAATAATTATATTATATTCTCACTGAACAATACATCCATATACATTCAAGTTCTAGTAATAAGAAAAAGGGAAGTTACAATTAATTACAAAAGGTGATTATTTCAAAATAATAATAATAAATACAAAGGCTGAATTTTAATTTAATACCCTTCAAACTTATTTAGCCCTATCTATACATAAAGTACATTGTTTAACACTATAACTAACATCATAGAACACCTAACACTAACACTACCAAGATCAACATCTGATGTAGAAAATGAACAACTTCATGTGCTAATCTAGAATTTTTCTGATCCTGAAAGAAATCTAGTTTATTCTGTATAAGAAATTTTCTACACTAAATGAAGACATGCCTTCAAAAAACTATTAAAACAAGAAAACTGTTCATAGTAATAGTAGGCGCCAGCTTTTCAACCTTTCTGAGCAAAGAACTTTTCTGTAAGCTCCTAGTTTTCCAATCAAATCCCCTTAATCTACAAGGATATATACAAAATGCAAAAGCACAGTGAAGAACTCCATTGAACTCCACAAAGCAACTATTAATAATTTTCAGCATACATACTGATAGCATAAAAACTCCACAATCAAGGCCCAACAAAAATTAATCCGAATTAATTTTTTTTCAAAAATAAACAGTTATAGAATGAGATTTGGTAAAAGCATGAAATATCCAAAATGTCGATTACGAAGTACCTGAAGAGCATGGGAATATCGCTTATAGTATCTTAGTTCCTTAATGAATGATTGGAGCTCTTCTTTCTCTGCAGGTCTACCTTCTTCAACCCACTGGTTCAGAATAGGAACGATCGAAACATTTGGATCTCCGACCGGAGAGATCCTACGGTAGAGCTCGCTAATTGAGAAATTCCTCTGGGTTGTCGTTGCGATTTTCGTTGAATATAATAAAGCATTTTTACCGCGCAGATAAGTATTAACGCCAAGAAACGAAGATCGCAAATGGCCAAACAGAAACTTCATCGACAATCCAGAGAGCGAGAGAGAGCAGAGGAGTTTCTACGTTGCAGCAAATTTGATTTTTTTTAACCTTTCTTCAATTAAGGGTTTAAAGGGTTTTGCAGATTTTTTTTTTTTTTTTTTAAAGAAAAGTAAACACTGTGGGCTTGGGCTGGTATTGTGTGTACCGTATAGTTTATATATATATATATATATATATATATATTGACCGTACAATATTATTAGTATCGGCGCTTTGGGAGTTCTGCATGCATGGCATTCTCCATAAACGACCTGGAGATGACCTCCAAGCTTTTTGTTTTACTTGATAAGCTGATTCTACTACAAGATTTTCAGGGTTTAAAGGTGGTTTTTTTTTTTTTTTTTTCCAAAGGGGATTTTTGGGTTTAAGATAATGTTATAAAAAATTAAAATTAAAATTGAAAAAATAAAATCCTCATCAAAGAAGGAAAATTTTGAAAGAGGTTTCTCCGAATTCGAGTCACTTTTAGTTTCCGTTTCCTTCCCTGTTTATTTACATATTCTTTTATATATTCCCCTCGTCGTTCTCTAAATCCCACAAAACTATTACATTAATATTATCTTTCTCTGCTTCTGATAATGAAAGTGGAGCCATTGAGGATTTGGGTGCCTCCGTCATCGGAAGATGGTCAACAAGAAAATTCTTCTCCACCGTTAGTGAACCGAGCTTCTAATGCCATTAATGGAGGCTTGAAGCAAGAAGATGGAAATTGTGTCCCAATGGAGTTGACAAGTTCCGGTGATTCCCATGAGAAAACCAGAAGAAGTCAAAGCTATGGCAATGAGAAGATCACCGAAGAGGTGTTCTTGTCGGAGCAGAACCAGAACCAGTTAGATTCATCATCAGACATGACGATTTCAACAGCACTGAAGCTATACGATGAATCTTGGATCACCAAACTCTCTGTTCCTGATTCCAACCGACCAGAAAGCTCCACTGATGATTTCTTAAACGTTTGTTCCAATATTTCAGCCATGAAAAATTACACCAAAGAGGATGAGGAAGATGAAAAAAGGAACGGGGTGTCAACTAAACTGACTCTGTACTCCGATCCCTGGATGATCAGGAAAAGTCTCACTCAAAGTGATCTGGGTAACCTGGCTAGACTGTTGATGAAGACAAACGTGATAAAAACCCACGTGCTGCCATTAATGAGGGAAGAGATACTTACGCGGGTAGAGAGCAGGGAGGGTGCTACAGTAATGGTGTTTGATCAAGACACCATGACTGAACATAAACTGGTGTTCAAGCAATGGATGTCGTCAAGGAGCTATATTTTTATCGGTAGATGGGGGAAAGATTTTGTCAGGAGAAGGGAGTTGAGGGAAGGAGATGAAATTGGTCTTTACTGGGATCCTTATTGTTCAAGATTCAACTTCCGTGTTTTGAATCGTGCTCCGCTTGATCAGCAGCAGGCTGCTTAATAAATACGTACATATATATATATATATATGCTATTTATATAGGTGGTAAGATATATAAGATTTGAATTATTACCCAGGTCTGAAAACTTTTTTGTAGTGTTGGAAAATTGAAAAGATTGAGGTTAGCAGAGGATTATATTCGATAGGACAATTAAGGGAATTTGACAGTGTTAGTAGTGGTTTTCTTAGTGATCTTTAGTAAGCAGCATGAAGTTTATCGTTTTTAATTTTTTATTTTAGGAAATTTCAATGCTTCCGGATCTTCTTTTTTTTTTTTTTTTTTGGTTAAAGGGAAAACAAAGCAAGTAAAACTAATGAAAAGGATCAGACATGGTTGTTATAGAGTCTGACCAGAAAACACCATAAGCTAAGTTCATCGGTGTTCAGCATTTTTATTTATTTCTTATAAGTATGGTGTACTTTTAAATACTAATTTTTCATGAGTTAAGTCTTAATTATTAAAAGAACGTTTAAATTAACATTAGCCGTAATCATCTTATTATTGATCACTTTATTCAAAAGTTGAACAACGAGAGCACTATCCATATCTAGTATAACTCTGTAGTGAGTCCAGATTTCAAGCAAGCTCAAGACTATCCAAAACCTCCCATAACTCCGCCCGAAGAACAGAACAGGTCCCAATCTTCCTAAGCTGTCCATCAAGCCACTGTCCAGTACTATCCCTACCCAACGCACCAGCACGCTACTCTCACAACGAGCCTCATCCGTGTTGATCTTGATTCAATTTTGGGGGGTGGAATCCAACTGATGAGTCTCTCTTGCTTCTGACTGTAGCAGTCCGACAGAGTAGAGCTGAGGCTTAAGGCCTAGAACGTATACTCAGTAATTCTGAAGACCTCTTGTCTCAACTCATCCACGCTACGCGGCCTGCCATGGAAGACAAAAGCATGGCGTTGCTGTCATAACAATCAGCATATAATTCTAAAAGCTTACAGATCTTTTTAGACATGCAATGAGTCTTGCTTCCTTGTTTCTATTCAATTGAATTGATTGCTTACTGAGTTGATTTTACTCTATTTTCTTCTGAACGTTTGGTCTCTTCAATATATATAGATATATATATTTTACTTCAACTTTCTAAGTTCTACTAATTAATATGTATACATGTGTGTATATATATATATAGATAGAGTAATGTCAAATTTGTTTATCCAAATTAAATATTTACATAATATATACAGTAACACCAACTGTTTATCCAAATTAATCTATTAAAATTTCATAAAGTCACACGGCCAATTTTGCCCATGATATTAATAGAAAACCAACCAGATTTGTCAATTGTGTTAAAGCTTGAAATTATATATGTATGTACCTGTTGCTACTCGCTAATTAGATACTCAGATTACATAATATAGTTTCTAAATGGAAATTTAAATAATTCAATGAACAACAATTCCGTTTAGTTTACTAAAAAATCAAACAGAAAACGGCAAACATCCGTTGTTAAGTCACAAATTAAAAGGAAAAAGGTGCGATGATTAAGAGTCGAAATCATAATCAATGCATACATATTTGCCGTTAAAAACCTCAACAAGTGCATCCTAAAATTCATCTTCTAAAACTTTGGAAGTAAATATTCTGAACCTTAACAAAATACTCATAACAGAACATTCAAAATCCATCTACCAAGAAACAGAAGATAAAGATCATGTGAGACTCATCAAAAATGGCAAAAAGTCTATTTCCTCAACGATTAGCCTTTGCAACTCTTTCGATTTCATCCTTCTTCTTGATTGCGTAACTGAACAAAGTAATAGACAGTCAGTTGCTAATACAGGAACCGTATTCAAGAGACAGTAATAAATTGTTAAACACTAGGGAAGTTTCACCTGTTGGATGAGCCTTTGGCAGCATTAATAAGCTCGTCAGCCAAACATTCAGCTATTGTTTTGATGTTTCTGAAAGCAGCCTCACGTGCACCAGTTGTAAGAAGATAAATAGCCTGGTTAACACGCCTCAAGGGGGAAATATCAACAGCCTGGCGTCTGACAACACCAGCAGAGCCAATTCGAGTAGCATCCTCACGAGGGCCACTGGGGAAAACAAAAAATATGAAATAGGAACTCTTATAATGTTGGTAGTATTACACATGAAGGCAAATTTCTAATACAGTATTTCCACTACCTATTGATGATAGCATCAACAATGACTTGAATCGGGTTCAAGTCAGTCAAAAGATGAATAATCTCCATAGCATGTTTCACAATTCTCACTGCCATCAGTTTCTTCCCATTATTTCTACCATGCATCATAAGTGAATTTGTCAACCTTTCTATGATGGGGCATTGGGCCTTCCTGAATCTCTTAACCGAGTACCTTCCAGCGGTGTGTGGCACATAAGTTGCATGTTTAGCTGGCTGAACTCCGATGTAGTCACTTAGAGAAAGGTCACTGACCTACATAAAACCAACAGAAGAAACAATCAGGTATATAATTAAATCTGAATGGAGACTGAGAACATCAAACATGCATGACTTAATGCTACATCTAGCAGCATACATTTTCCAGATATTGTGTGCGACTTTAAATATTTTTTAAGATGCTATCTTCAAGTATTAGAGCATCGAATACAAAATGAAACATTTGTAATTGATTCAAAAAATTCAAAGATAGTACAAAATCTGTACCAAAAGTGAACAATAAATACAATTTGATTCTTCATAAGAAGCCAGCATATCAAGAAAATGCATCATAAATGTGGCAGCATAAAATGCAATAGAAAAGGCCATTGGATTAGGCACGACAGTAATGCATACGACGATGGCCAATTTGAACCAAAATCTTCTACCATAATATAGATCATGGACTAACCTAGTCCAATCGTAAATTAAGAAGTTGCTAAGAATTGTTCTAAAAGATTAAAACTCTATATAGATAACACAAACAAGAAAAAAAAAATTGAAGGAACAAACAAGAAAAAATATATGTCAACCCAGATGAACCAAATAAAAAATACGAAATCAGAAGAACAGCATATAGACTTGCAACACCGTATAAGGGAAAGAATGAGACCTGCACATCATCAAACGACCAGCGATTGAAGAGCTTCACTTCATGGTGAGGCTGGCTAGAGTCCTCAACGGCAACCACTGTAGCCGCCATCGCTATAGTAAGCGAAAAAAAAAAAACGAATTAGCACGGAATGGCTTTCATCTAGTGAATTTTCTATTTGGATAGAAACAAAATCATCTTAAGTCTCTTTCTCTGACACCATAAAAATTTCAAAATGATTGTTTCAGAAACCCTAAATTCTGCACTGTTCCTGCAGATCATCGGATTAAAACAACGCCACTTGAAAGACGTTAAATATATATCCACCATATACATAAATAGAGAAGCGAGTAAAGTTAAAGAAGATAAATTACGAATCATAAAATGACAATAACAAATAAGAATGTATATCAGATTTCAATCAACTCGCAACCAGAGAAAATTCTACTACAGAAGAACAAGCCACGAATGCGACAACAACTAAGATAGAAACAAGCTCAACTGATTATGAAAACGGCAAAATTCGTCGAGAGAGATTAAACGGAGAAACTCAGTACCTTATAGATCAGGTTGAGGGAAAGAGCAGAACAGTGGCAGCTAACCCGGTTCTTGCTATGAAGAAAAAGAACTCAAAACCCTAATATTCGGGTTTTTATATGGTGTGTTGTCGTTATTTTAGGGTATTATGGTCATTTGATAATTATATAGGGCGATAATGGTCATTATATAAGTTGAGGGTATTATGGTCATTTGAGAATATTTATGGCGGTCAATTTCTTACCTTCGGTGTGGCGCTCTTCTTCTTCCCTGCTCTGATGGAGCTTTGCTTCGCTCAATCATCTTGTCTCCGAGTCTCGGCTGTAAATGCTCGTCGGGAAAAGATTTACTGTCTTCAACCTACGTTTCCGATTAAGCCGGCTGGAAAATCTTGCAGTTTTCTCTTGAAAATCTCCAATGAACTGCACTTGATTGGGCTTTACAGTCCCAGGATTTGCTCAAAGCCTGTACCAAACGGACATTACAGGAGCAATTCCATCTCGGTAATTTGTGATTCTCCACATTGTTTCGCTTGAATTGGACTTTACTTTTCTCCATTTTCCTATTTGGTTGCTTTGTTGTATCACAAAAAAATTGAAGAGCAACTAGTATTGAATGTACCAGGATGCTGGAACAGATTGAGAACTTATCTTACATACTGAAAACATATTCAAACAATTAGATATACTGAAAGAAAGTGTTTAGGCAGATTGTATTCTGTACGTTCGTCAGCTCTAGTTAAATTATAGTAATAAATTTTTTTATACATATATATATATATATGATAGATTTTTGTAAGAAAAAATATTATAACAGAAAACATACATATAACATAAAGAATGTAATAATATAAAGAATATAATAAAATAGATGATGGAATCATTTCTTCTTACTCTTTTTTAATTCGATAAATGTTAGTTGATTGTATATTTCATTATAGTTCTATAATTCAGAGTATTATTTCATATTTGATCCATCTGAGTTCCATATTCAAAGTTCTCATCAGATCTCTTCATTTAGAAGAATCTATCCAATACTGTGTTGGTCACATGTAGATTCTATGGAATATATAGATGCCCTTACTGACTCAATTTTTTGCTTCTGCGAGATTTTTACCTTCATTTGTGTGTACACGTGTGGCATTAGTTATGATTCATGATTGGCTTAAATTGATGTTGTTGTCGTGTTTGGTTCAATGCATTCTCTGAGAATCACTAGTGTTCTTATGGCATTAATGTGAAAGTGGATGCTGTCAGGCTTGCACAAGAGTTGGGGCAGCTGGATCCGATCCTGTAGCGAACAAAGTTGCAAATTTCAAAGATGCATTCTGGAGATTTCTTAGGCCACATACAATTCGTGGAACAACTTTGGGATCTTTGTACGTGTACTTTTGATATTAACACACTAATTGGCCTTTCTAGAATCATTTTATTTTTCCAGTCCGTTTGATTAAATTTATCCTCTATGACAGTGCCTTGGTGGCAAGGGCGTTGATTGAGAATTCCAATCTAATAAAGTGGTCTCTGCTTTTTAAGGCATTCTCGGGTCTTTTCGCTCTAATATGTGGAAATGGATATATAGTTGGCATCAACCAAATCTATGACATCGGAATTGACAAGTACGCCAGTGGAAATTTTTGCATATAGGGAAAACTTGCAAACAACTTTAATTTTCAAATGCAGTTATTCTCTAGTTTAAGATCTAGTAGCTGCACCTATCCTGAAGCGATCAACAATACAACAGAAATATCTTTTTCTTTATTTTCAAGTCATTTGAATGATCCATGGTGGTGTGCTAAACTTATGAGCTTTGATATTTTATCTCTAGGACTGCTGATAAAACAAAAATTTTGTGGATTTATGAAAGTTTTTGCTTGAAAAATCTGTTTTTAGTTTTTCTCTTTGTGTTTCATTTGCAGGGTCAATAAACCATATTTACCAATAGCTGCAGGAGATCTTTCAGTTCAATCAGCATGGATGCTGGTGATATTTTTTGCAATGACTGGCCTTTCAATTGTCGCATTGAACTTTGGGCCATTCATTACTCGTCTTTACTTTCTTGGTCTTTTTCTCGGCACCATCTATTCCGTTCCTCCATTTAGAATGAAAAGATTTCCTGTTGCAGCATTTCTTATAATTGCTACGGTATAGCTTGCTTTCTTCTTCACCTTCCAGTTTTAGCTTCAATGTGGTTGTCTCTATGTATTTGAGCTTCGATGATTGTGAAATAGATTATGTTAATTGGCAGAGAATTTGGAAAATCAAGGACATTTCTTCAAAATCTAAATGATATAGAGAATTACATGATTGGGTATAGACAATAGAATTAGGATTTTGTATTTGTAGCCTAGTTTAAGTTCTGTGAGACAGATGTTTCTAAGTTTTGGCAACTGCTAAGGCAGATGTTTCATAGTTGTAGAAAATGAAATGCGCCTCTAGATCCTCCGAGCAAATTAATTGACCCTTGCTTGTTTTTGTGTGTGTTATCTCTGCCTCTAAGAATAGTTATAGGTATTTTGTTATGCCATAGACCTGTTGAAGATTAAAATCCTCTATTCCACTACTTTGGTTCATATTGAATATAACCTTTTTCTATGGGGAAAAAAGTGACTAATTGTTATGTTATCCTGCTCTCTTAATTTTCTAGAGCTGTTAAGTCCATACAATCTTATAACAAAATTATTATTATGCAGAAATTAGCAGAATTGTTGCAATGTGAAAGTCTTAATTTATATGCCTCCATATCATCTTGACTGTTATAAACAATGATGAAGAGAAAACACAACCTTTCAGGTACGAGGATTCCTTCTTAATTTTGGTGTATACTATGCCACAAGAGCTGCCCTTGGACTTACTTTTGAGTGGAGGTTGGTTACTGTTCTGTTGATATTGATTGATCATGTGGTTGACGTATATTAAGCTGTTTGAAAATCACCTGTGCATAAAAATATTTTAGTAATGCGGACATTATGATCTATCTACACCATTTCATTTTGCCCGATCATAATGGAGCTTTTTATTTATTCCATCACCTAAGGAATTAGCAATGGCTTGCTTGAGACAAACGGTAGGATTTTAGTTTTCTAGAATAGATGCATGTTTGAATTACTCCTTAGTAATCTGATACAATACTTATTTCCTTGCGGACAGAAGTTTATGATTGATTTTTTAAGTTTTTGTTTTTATATACTATAATATGTTTTATCATATTTCTTTTATTTCAAAAAAATATGTTTTATCATATTTAATAAATCAGCTATTTTTAGAACATTTTCCAAAGTATTGAAAAACTTTCTTATGTAATTAAATTTCTATATGCAGTGCTCCTGTGGCTTTCATCACAACCTTCGTTACACTGTTTGCACTAGTAATTGCTGTCACAAAAGATCTTCCGGATATAGAGGGGGACCGTAAGTAAGTAATTGAACCTGCTTATATCATGTTTTGCTGGACAAAGAACACCTGTTCTTTTGGTTGTTAGGTATCTCATTTGCACTCCCTGTTTGTTTCCAGTTTGCGTTCTGAAATCCTGATGACTATCAAATTAACTCCAGTTAATGGCTGTTTGTCTATGTGTCCCTCTCCAGAAGCGTTAATTTTGCTAATTTTGTTATACATCTTTTGAACATCTGTTGCCTTCATTGACAGATCCAAACCTATCCATACTACCTCTTTTAGAAGGCTAGTATCCCATCTTTTCTGACATCATACTCATCCAACGCCCATTGATATAATTATGACAGATTTCAAATATCAACATTTGCAACAAAGCTTGGAGTTAGAAACATTGCATTGCTTGGCTCCAGTCTGTTACTGGTGAACTATGTTGCTGCTATATTGGCAGCAATTTACATGCCTCAGGTTAACAAATTTTTATCTGTTTCTAATTGTTTCTTTGCAAATTATTCATAGCCATATCCTTTTCTTACATGTACAATAGTCTGTGCATGAATATCATGATCTTTTCTTTTTACTGATGTGATCTATAAAATTTAGTTCATCATTCAACACTTTGCAGGTTTTCAGGCGTAACTTAATGATTTCTGCACATGTAATCTTGGCTTCATGCTTGATTTTCCAGGTATATTTCTTGGGGTAAAAGTCTCTTGATTACATCTTCTACTAGTATGTATCTTGGAAAGTTTTCTGGATACATTTTCCTTTGATTCTGACTCACTTTCTTTCCTAATGTATTTCTTTGTTCATTCTTGGCTTGGAATTTTTTTAAAATATAATTAAACAACAATGACAGGCATTTGTAATTAAATTGCTCCTTATGTTTTTAATTGAATCAATTAGTTCCATATACTTACATGTACCAAAGAGCACAATCTGAAAGAAACGTAGTTTAGAATTTTTTCTAAAATGATCCTGACTGTAAGAGGTATCATTAAAACTTAACAAGTTTTGTTTTCTCGTAACATTAGTTGATAATCTTGGAAATCCATGAGGCTAGTTGACTCAATTAAAAACACAGGAAGCAATTTCTCACCATAGCAGCAGTACTGGGAGTATAGGATATTAACCCAAATTACCATGTGAATATAGCTTTTTCCAAAACAAAAAACCATATGAATGTTCAGCAGTTGATTCATGAAGTGTGACTTGATTCAGGTTACCACATAACTGTTGTTCTGTCAAAACCACAAGGTATACTTTTGTACACAGAGCAATTGATGATATTGTATTTATCTTAGTTCTGCCTTTTTTTTTTTTTTTTTTAGAGATAAGTTGTAAGATGGAGTTAAAAACTCAGGCTATGTATGTTGAAATTCATTACATGAGTTTAATCTTGCTACCACCTCATATTATATGTTCAAGAGCATGAGTATTTTCTGAAACATGCTTTTAAAAAAATAATAATAAAAAGTGTAAGGTGTAATATTCATAGGGTACCAAAGGGGTACCACTCATTTACAAATGATTTTTCTGAAACATGCTTTTAATCATATGTAATGGTTGTGCAGTGAATATCCCATGATATCATACTAACGAGTGCTTCTTCATTGCTTAAGATAATGCTTAAACTTCATCCTCTACATAGTTTTTATTTTGCAGACGTGGGTGTTAGAACAGGCAAGTTACACCAAGGTACTGCTTTTTGTGTCTAATATATTGCAAAAAACTGAACCTTTTAATCCCTCCCATGGTAAAAGGAGATATGGTGCTGGAATCATCTATTCTATTATAATCAGTCAGTTGACTTGTAATTCTTCTTCGGTTAATAGAATGAATATAAAATTCTTATTACAATATACACAGATCTGAAAGGAGTTACTCATTGTCTTTTTATCGTTTTATCTGAAAGGAATTGGTTTGAAGTTAACAACTAAAATTGACAAGAACCGCAATCAGGAAAATTCAGTTTAATATCACAGGGAAATTCTATCATCTTCAATGGCATCTCATGCTAGGGGTCTATTTTTTCAAACTTTTACTATTTTAGATCGCGTAAAAGAATCTCACATTTTTAGTTTGTTGCCAATACAATACTGAAGTTAAAGTATAGATTATAACTTGTTTACCGGTAACTTATAGTGCCTGCTCTTTCGTGGCTCCAATTATGGCTGGATTTGGTCCATTAATTGTTAGGGAAGGAAAATGAATGCACCTTATGATTCTAGTCCATGCTGTTAGGGATACCTTCTAAAAGATAAAAGCAGATACATCAAGGTGGTGCTAAGCCATGCCGGCTTTTTATCATTTTTTTTTGTGTTGGTCAACTTGGTCTGCACCTATTTGCATAGTGAGATTGGTGGACATTGTGAAATTGTATTTTGGTTTAAACAAACCATACATTTCTAAATGATGATGCTGCATGAATTGCATACTGAGATTGGTAGACATTGTAAAATTGTATTTTGGTTTATGCAAACAATACATTTCTAAATGATGATGCTGCATGAATCGAGAAAAATGGGTTTCATTGAATGTCTGATTGTGTTTGATTACGTTCTGCAGGAAGCTATATCTGGGTTCTACCGCTTTATATGGAACCTCTTCTATACTGAGTATGCAATGTTCCCTTTTATCTAGCTTTTGAGTTGATCTCGCCTGTTCTTGGGTTGCTATTCTCACAGAGGCAGTGGAAGAGGGTTATAACTGATGTAAATATCTTCACTGTTTATTTAATCCATGTTGTTATATAATATCTTATTACAGCATCATCTTACCAATTCTCTCCTCTGCTTGCTAGTGGAAAGAGAATTAAAAATTGTGTTATCAAGTCACAAAAGTGATGGTGGGTGAGGGAAGAATTATTCTATAGTATGGCAAGATGGTAGAGGAGGCTGACACATTTCAGGTGCTCTTAAAGAGATTAGGGAACGCAACATTTATGCTATTACGCCACTCCCTTGTCTTTTTTATCTATTATCTGGGAGTTCCTTCAGTCAATCCTCTTGTTTCAGTGGCATTTGCCACTCACTGTTTTCAGATTCAATTTTAGGATTAACTTGAGGGCAATTGAACCTGTATGGCCCCCTGGATTCCTTCATTCCATTTTCACAATCAGATTTACAAACAGGAAACTGGATCCTTGTAAAAGAAAGGGCATCAGAAAACAAAAAGAAAACCCTAAACCATATTTCTCTAGCCTAAACATGGACAAATTTAACCATGTGTTATACTTCATCTACATATGGCCTACTTTGTTGCCCTTTCAGAAGATTCCCTTTGCTCCATGGAAAGTGGACTCTTTGTTGTAACTGGCCTACGGACTGTAGGTGGAGTCATGACACTAGTCGGGCTGGAACAGGATTTGGTTCGAGGAGAGAAGTTAACATTTTTTCGTTTTGGAGACAAGTTTGCCTGCTCCAGAACCCGGAACTGAAGCTCTGAAGGATAATCCCTCATGCAGCTAATACGTGGCCCTGCTCCTGTTGACCATTTAGAAGATAGTTGCTGAGCTAGCTGGTATGACTTCATTCCTTTATGTGAATCTATCCTCTT